GACGAGCCAGGGAGTGACGGGGTGCAGGAATCAGCAGCCCGCCCGTTCTGGGCGTGGCTCGTCAAGCACAGCGGAGGCGATAGCCGTCTCACTACCGAAGTCGACCTGCCGCATTCCTCTCCGTATACGATCGAAGTAGAGTTCCTCTCCGCCGCAAATGTTCATATCGACGAGCTGGGCGAGATGGTACTCCTCAGTCATCTGGAGACCAGCTTAGTAGAAAATACCCCTTCGATGAGCGGGCCAGACTTATTACGCACAGCACTGGAACGTGGTGTTCCTGTCCGGATATCGTGGAGCGCTTCATATGGACAGAGCGTTCAAAACATCGCTCGGAGAGGCGCTCGACCGCATCCACTACCTGACTGGTACTGGGGTGTTGCCTCTTCACTTGGCTTCTACGGCGACAGCGATGCCGACATACTCACACAGTGGAGACATCGCATGTCAATCCTCTTTCGGCGGCCAGAATCTGTCCGTCTCCTACAGTACGGAGGGATAGTATGGCGAATAGCGAGACAGTTCATGCCCCAAGAAATCCTGTTCAATGTATTGCGTCTTCCGTCGGCAATGTACCTCATGCACGGAGAATGGTACGCAGGAGGTGGAGGGCATTGCGAGATTACAGCTAATTCACAGGACGACCGCCTACTGCGTGCCGTAATTGGAACCATCCATGATGGAAGCACTTACTTCCCACCGCCAGAAGTATGGGCCGCCTCCGCGGTCTTCAATGGGTTCTGGAACGCGCTCAGCGAAGACCGCTTCCAAGCCATATGGAAGCATGTCCGCAACGGCACCGCGAAGCCACGGACACGGGGAAAATGGGTCTCGGACATGAGAGGATGGAACAAGGGCGTCCGCGAAGCCCTCGTCGCGAGGCAGGCGGGCCTCTACCTTGATCTGGGAGAACTCAGGCAAGAGCATCAGGATTGGATAGCACTGAGCCCTCTCGCTACCCCAGGGTTTATACAACTTGACGGATAACACTGCCTGTGTTCAGTTTGGGGGTGATCTGTCATGGGGATGGGGCACGGGAAGGAGCAATCGGCTGGCCGCTCGTTGTGCGACTCAGAGGGAAGCCTTCGCATGCAGGGAGCCTCGCACGCCTGGTGTCATTCCGAGTAAGAAGTGGACCTTTAATCAATGTAATACGAATCGTTGAATGTACTAACGCACCAATTACTGGCAAATAATTTTCCACAGAAGAATGCCAATACATAATTCACGATCGAGTGGTGGGTTCAACTTATCAAACAAGAATATATCCGGTCATATACCTCCCCACTTCCGTCGACATACTCCTGACCAGCCTTTTACCCGAGATTAAGGTATTGGTACCACTTTTTCCCCGTCTTCTTTCCAGGAGGGCACCAGCCTTAAGATTGCAAGCGTCGACGATGCCAATGAATCCAGCGAGACCCGACCCGTGCCAAATCCGAGGAGTTTGACATTGACTCTTTCCGCAAGACGATGTGCCCAGCCAAACAGGTTGAAAGATACCGGTGCGAGGAAGGAAGATGTCGAAGAGCTACGCCCACTTCTCCTGCTTTCCAGTGTTTTGCTTATTCACTATCAGATTGTGCTCGTCTGTGGTTCCGCGCGCATTCCCACCGCAGAAACTGTTCCCTATAGCTGGCCCATTCGTGTAATCTCGTAGGTGTTATTGGAATCGTCCTGGTGTTTCGCCGGACATGCTATATATAATACCCCGCAGGGGTCCTGACGAGGAACAGAATAACGGGGCGGCCTCGTTTGCATCTCAGGCGCATCTGCAATTTTTTCGGCCGCCATGTGTGTATGCTTCGGGGGTGCCGCTCGCTCACATGTGTCGAGAAATATTCGCTGTCCCGGATCGTGTTATATAATCTTTTCATTTATTCTATCCATTCCGGCAACTAATCTCCCGCCAGAACAACGAGCAGAGCTTCAGGCTGATCCACGCAGATGCCTCGCCGGGCAGCGGCGGTCGCAGTGCCACTCGGAGTGTGCAAAGAAAGGCTCTAGAGTTCAGATGCGCGCTTTCTGTTGGATGGGAATCAGGCAAGTCTCGGTCCATCCATGCTGACCCGGTTTATTCGAGTGGCCAATGCCATTGTACAGGGTCGCTCCGTGGAATTTTAGCATAACTGCGCACTTCAGAGCGAGTCGGAGCGAGTTCGGCATCTTACGACGGTGGCGCATATCCATCGCGTGTACCACGTACCGAAACGTGAAGTATGTGACGGCAACGAGTCGACAGCGGCGTGAACAGTCGGACTCCCCATTTATCAAGACCAAGCATTCTCCGACGCGTCCGCACGAAGCAAGGAAGGTGGGCAAACAAGATGTATTCATACACGAAATCCGACAGAATACGCACTACCTGCCAATCCCGTTTCCTCCGATATCCGACGTCCTTTTTCATAGCCACTTCCTCGCTGCCTCCTCCATCGCCGAGATGAAAGCATTTCTTCCTGGCGGGTTCTTCAAGTCGAGGGGGATCTCGAACAAGACCTCACGAGGGTGGCGCGCAGCCAGCTTTCGCAACCCAGCGTGAACGGCGCCTCGGTTGGGACGAGCGACGATGGTCCTCGCGTCCATCGCATCCTTCTGCACCCTTTCGCCGTATTCGAGACGCAGCCCGAGTCGCTCATCTTCCCTCTTTCCTATCTTCGGATAGGCGCGCTCCCCACTGACGGCGTCTCGAGCGCCTGCCAGTAGTTGCGCATAGGCGTTGTTCTGGGACGGTAAGTCAAGCCAGCGCGCCAAGATGCATGACGATCTCTCACTTTATTGAATGCAGTCACGAAGACCGTCTTGAGTTGAGTCAAGAACATGTGGCAACGGGGTAAGAAGTAGTGGGGAGAAAGTGGTGTAGAGAGACGTGGTGGCGGGAGATGAGACGAGAGAGAAGAATGTGGCTGCCGCTGAATTGGGTTGACTGCAAGTCGCGCGCGCGACCTTGGACAAGTTAGCAGGTCTGTCATAGTCCTTTCGCTCCGTATTTCCTCAATTTGACACGAACTCTACATGATGTAAAGTACGGCGAATCTGAAGGCACTCCTACCTCTGTCTTGGGTCCATCAAGATAAGCTCAAAAGCTAGATAGTTCAACTTACCACAGAATCTACAACGGCATTCTTTCTGTGGCTCGCTTACATTCTGTACGTGTTCTCAGCGTTCGTCTACTTGGGAAAAGCACTGACATTGTAGGAGCTGAACTTCGGCAAGACGTTCCTTCCCCCTCCTTACCCTTTCTCCCTGTGCAATTCTCGCCCCTCGCCGCCCTGGACCCGCTCACGACTATTGAAAAGTTACGCCATCCCTGTCTACAATCATTGCCTTTGTGCATTGCGCAGTCGTCCGAGCTCCTCGCTGTTCGGTGTTGTTGTCGTCGCTGTAGTAGGAAGAAACGGCACTTTAAGGATAGGATGGTGGGTCTTCACCGCCAGGCCGCCTCGTACATACTGACGGTATGAATTACTGCATACACCCAGCATAAGGAGCGCCTCGCCCATAGCACGTTCTCTCTTCCCGCCCAGGATAAGACAAGCTCGTGAGTGCAATTCGTTCGACTCAGTTCTATGACGCGCTCTCTGCTCTTCTTCCTCCTGGGCCACATGTCCTGCTCGTCCCCGACCGTCCCGCTCGTCATCGATCTTCCCCCTCTCAGAGTTGAACTCATCAGCCAAGGGCGCACAAGAGCAACACTATCGCGTACCAGCAGCACTTCTTCCCGAACGTAAGAGCGCTGCTATGATGCGGTAGTGGTGATCGTCCATAGTGTTCTATAGAGAAATCTTGCGGCGTCAGGACACCACCAGGTTTGATCCCATCGACATAGACGGCGACGCGCTTGTGCAGGCACTCGCATATATGGTCGCTGTTAGACGCCTGCGGCATTCGACCGCGTTTCGAAGGCCAGTATTAAACGGCGGATCAGAGGAGGCGCTGCACTGCGCGCGCTCGACACCGTGGTGCGGCGTTGGCTCCGGGAGGAAGAGTGGGCTACGAGGTGAAGGGAAAGGAGCGGAACTCGGCGGCTGTTCGGTGCGTCGCGTTTCCGTGCCGCTCCTTCGGTTATCTTGACTGTACTCAGTTTCTAGTCTCTCGAGGGACTCATGTTGTACGTCTCGCCTGGTGCACTCAGACGACGATAGGGTCTTGTATAGAAGGGTACGTGATGTTGGTCGTTGCCGTGTGGCTTATCGTGGTGGCTCAGGCTCACAGTTTTGAAGCAGGGGCACCCTGGTACCGGTATCTCCAACAAGGCGATGGCCATCATTAACTCCAACCCCTTTGTCAACGGCATTTTCGAGCGCATTGCTACCGAAGCGTCCACTGAGTCACCTTTCTATGAGCGTGCTGGGCCGCACGCTCATGGTCGCTGTTAGAACTCGCTGCCTATTCGAAGAAGTCGACCATCTCTTCTCGTGAGATTTAGACTGCCGTACGATTGTCTTTTCCTGGAGAGCTCTCCAAGCACGTCATATCTGAGGGAACGAAGTCAGGAACGAAGGTTCGTCACACTTTCCCGATATCTTCTATGTCGTCTGATTGGTCGTGGCCATAGCGCAGGCACCAAGTAGACTAGCTTTGATATTCTGTTCTCTGTATTCTTTTTCCATCTCCTCGCCTGAAAGTAGTGTGCTCTCATCAACGTCTCCTTTATATGACTCACACTACGATCTTATGGCCTTGCGACGGTCAACTGAACCTCGCCGCATAGAACGTCTTAGATGAGACTTATTTTTTTTCCTAGATAACTGCTCGAGTATGTACGCTTATCAGACAAGATGGTAAAAATCCTGACGGAGTCCGGGAGGGAAAGAGTAGTAAAAATACAATACGTCTCCTCCGCAAGTCGCTACCAGGCACCGAACCCGGGATCGCTAAGAGATACTGAGACAGCCTTCAACTCCGTTCAGTCACAGCGGCGTGCATGAAGATATCATTTTTTAAAATGACACTGTTACCGAATTTTTGGAGTGGCAAAAGAGTCATGAAATTCAAACTTATGCCGCCGCCGGGAATCGAACCCGAGGACGCCGCGAACAGCAAACGCCTCCAACACCATTCAGTTACAGTGGCTTCCTTACACTGATATTTTTTTTGTCATCACTTGACTTTCGTACTCGCTGGTCTGTCACCCGAAGGACTCGGAGGAGTCCTCCGAGTCCGCGTCCGCTGTCAACTCAACTGCCCCAGCCTTGCTCTCTGCGCCAACAAGTGCGCTGCTCTGGCTTCTGGCGCTCAACACCCATCTCGCGCGTCGCCGGAAGCACCGACGCGGCCGGCCCCTCCATTTTCCTGTCTCCCACTGGCCCGCCGGGAAATCAGCTTGCAGCCCCTTCGTAACTCCAGCATCCTTCTGCATGAGCTTGGTTTCGCATGTTCGTCCTCGCGCGTAAGTGGTAGCTTTTGCTGCACAACCTCCGACCCTCTGCTCGCCCTCCAGGCGCTTGTCCTTCGACTCAATCCTCGCGGCCTGCACTTGCTCACTCGCCCTCCTATAACCTTACATTCTCCCTCCACCACCATGCATCTCGAACAGACACGCCCCCCCAGAAATCAGAGGGACACTTCCCAGCCCACAGATATCGTAGACAGAATGATCGCCATCCAGCGCAAGAATGCCGCGTACGTGATAAGCGCACACTACACGCCCTCGCTCACCCTAGTGCTCACCTCTCATCAATCCTCACAGGCTTACTGGCCCACGACGCCGTCCAGAGCGCACATCCCACGCCGTCGCAGCTACCTCCGCGGTCACGATCCCCACCGTCACCCAAAGTCATCGAGGCTAGTACTGGTAACTTTATACGCCTCAGGATCTCCTCATCCCCACGTTCCGCAAAGTTGTACAACTGGAACACCGACGCCGTGCCCGTCCGCCGCACCGCAGAGCCCCAAGCTATGTTTGACGCGAGCTCGCAAGCATCCAAGCCCAAACCCGAGCCTGCGCAGCGTTCGCCATGGCAGCTCTTCGATTATTGCCGCGATGACCCCGTCCGCTTCGCAGTGCATAGCAGAGGCGACGGGGAGGGGCAGAGGCCCGGGAAAATGCGCGCGCTCGTCTGGGGGTGTACTTGGACATCCCAGCAGCCTGTGTTGACAGGGGTCTCTCCGAGCGAAGTGACGGCGCTCGGGGGCGGTACGTGGATATCCGGTGCGTGGATATGCTGCACATGAAAGACGGGTCTACCTCACGTAGCTCCTTTTCCCGTGCGTTTTGCAGCCGCAGTCGCGCTCACGCTCACGTCGAAACGCTGCGTAAATAGCCGGGCAAGCGGCAACGCGTGACTTGCACTTGACATCGTATGCGCCCGCGATGCCGGGTTTCCCATTGTGCCGGACGCCTTGGAAATTACCGTAGGTGAAGTGTGGCTATCGTTACCACCGTCCACCGCTTTTGGTTGCTTCCCGCGAGCGAGTATCCAGAGGCTCGAAGGCTAACCAGCGCGCGCAATTGGAAGTAGCGGGAGTCGACGCGGCCACGGCCGTGCAGGTATCGGGTGGGCGGCTAGAGGGATGAGGGTTTGAGAGAATTACGGATGGCCCGGATAGATTGTACGAGTCAAAATCAACCCCAATGCGCGCGGCGCTGTCAGTTTTCGCATCCGAACGACGCGGCGCGGGCGATTCCTCTTCAACTCGATCGTTTGTGCGGCACGTCAAAGTCTACCACGCATAGAGTGGATGTCCCAGGTGGACGAGAGAGGCACGGGCAAGCGTGTGTCCGGGTTGCCTGGCAATGTAAGTCGCATTTTCTAAAGAGTGTGACGAGTCAGCCCGCCGGCAGTGCGCCGTGTGCGCGACATACCTTCATGGCGCATAGCATGGCGCATGGGTGGCAATAATATGTGGGTGTGGAGACGAGCAGGGCAATGATGGTAAGCGTGTTCGAGGCTAAACGGGGCGAAGACGCCAGATGGGGACAGGACTTCGGCGGGCTTGCCACACGCGAACGCGTGAGTGCCGCGCCGCCGTTCAACTTCCCCGTCTGTACTCACCTCTCTACATTTCCTCCTCCTTCCTCAGGTCTCTATTTTCCCATCCATGCGCTTGTCTGCGTTCCTTCTCGTCTTGGTAGCCGTGCTGTCCTTGGTCATCCTGCAAGACAACACGCAGTGAGTGGGTAAATGTAAATTAGTGGACTGCCTAATATCTGTGCAGAAATGATGTACAACCGGATACCCCGTCGATGAAGGGCGCGCCGCACAGTGCAAATCTGCCAGCCAAGACTCTGGAGATCCTTTCATCCGATCTCGGACGGGTAAACGGAACGGGGAGGCGGACCATGCGACCTCCAGGGAACGCGACTGCGGTACGATCGATGACAGAGGACACCGAGGGCGAGCGCGGAGATGAAGAGCGCGGAGAGGACAAGAACGGAGAGGACAAGCAGAGCGACCGAGAGTAGGGGACGACGACCCGTATGGTGAGCATCGCAGTTCTCTGGCGCCGTGATGCACATCAATATTCGTTGGACTTAGACATTACAGTGTACTGCCTGTGTGTACGACGAATTTCCTGAGTTAACGATCCCGCCGTCGCAGCAAGGAAGTTTATTCGTATATGTAAGGTACAAGTTGGGCGAGGGCAGCAGGCTAAAGTTTTGCGTGTTCTCCTCCGCGAGCCATATGATCTCAATCGCTGTCGCACTCGTCAAGCTCAGTATCCTCAAGTGTCGGACGGGCACGCCGCCGTTTCTCCGGCGTGGTGCGCTTCTAATATTCTCAGACCTAGTCTCTTATGGCGGGGTCAGATTCCACTGGTCCCTCCGTTATGTGCTTTATGCAGGTGGCAAGTGTACATCGTCTAGCAGCTGCCTCGACTTTCTCTCTGCCAGCCGTGCCGTAAGCTTCATCCCAGTTTCCCTGTGCCCGCTTCTCGTTCTCCTCCCGTTCAGCCGGTGAACACTAGATATATGGTAGCGAGAGAGCGGTGGGTGTAATCTCATGACAAACAGTTTTGGTGGTATATTTTCTCATATTTTCCCTTTTCCACCTAGATTTGTCTGCTTTTCCCATCAGCCCGGCACTGACCACCTGTTTCCTTCGTTCCAGTCGCCCGTCTGCTCCTCACCCTCTTCACCGCCCTTAAAACTATGTTTCGTTCCCCCGCACAGCAAGTTCGGTACGCTACATATCGACGTCGATAATCCATCCGAAGCACTGTTTTTGGGGAGCTTAGCTTCGCGAGCATCTCGTTTTTGGCGCCTTTGTTGGGTTGGACGACGAGATTTCTTCTCCACCTATCCCCCACTTTGACCTTCTCTCCGTAGTCGACTCGAACGCCTACAACATTGTATTGTCCCTGTCCGGGTGCATCCTCGGACATGCCCGCATTCCCGGCATCGCATGTCCCACGTCTCGAACAATTGTCCGCCATGCACCACCATCCTTCGACCTTGGTGAGCTCACTGTAAAGAAGAATGTGGAGCAAATATCGGGAAGCGGGGCGGAGCAAAGGTGAGACAGGGCAAACGATGGTATCATATGCTGCCGCGACCTTTCCGCCTGCGGCAGATACTATCAACTCCGGCATTGAGAGCCCCTCGATAATGCCCTCCTGAAGTGACGTCGCCCCGCCGAGCGGTAGCATGACGGTGTCACATCTTTACAAGGCTTAAATGAAATTTAGCATCGA